GTGTGTGTGTGTGTGTGTGTGTATACAGTGTGTGTATGTGTGTGTATACAGTGTGTGTGTGTGTGTGTCTGTATACAGTGTATCTATGTGTGTACACAATGTATATGTATGGGTGCAGACAGGTGCACTTTATGTCCCATCTTCATTCGGTTGATGTAAAGCAATCCAGTCATGAGAAAAAAAAACGGTTAGGGAGCCAGTTGTGCCGCAGTGCTCATGTGCTAACAAGGAACATGCTGATGGGAGGGATGAGCAGAGTGACAGAGAGATCAGCTCATCAATCTGCTGCTTCTCTTCACCACCCCGCTCAGCCTCCTGACAGGTTTTGTCTTCGCGCCGGGGTTTCACATGGACCCAGACATGTGCAGTGACATTGTGCGGCCCTTCAGCTGCGTGTTCTCGGTCTCTGTCAGTCTCCTTGCACTGATTGTGAAAAGCACCGAGGTGCCCAGATGTATAACGAATGTCCGGACACACGTATAATGAGGAATGCAGCTTGCCAAGCACCACTTTCCTTGCATGACAACGCTGCACCCGGGGCAGCTGCCTCTCCTGCCCCCCTTTTGTCTCTGCCCTGGTTGTAATAAAGTAATCCCATCTCTGAGCTCAGGATGAAGCTGCTACTTCCCCGGCTTGTTCCTCTGCTGACACCGACTTGTACTAATGACTTGATGTCCTTCTATCAGTACAGCCCGTGGCTTGTCACTTACATCCTCGGTAGCGATCTGTGTCTCGGAAGGTCTCGCAGTCTTCTACACTCTCTACAAAGCAATTGGACATCACTTAAGGAGGTTCTAAATCTCTGCGCTGTAGACTAGTAAGCATTGCTTAGGGCTGCCAGAGAGTGGCAGCGTTCATACATCACCACTGAACTGGCGCTCTTAGCGTGTGCTAGAACAACTTGTCCCCGCCATTGTTTCCATCAATCCAGTCCTCCTCCGATGATCCTCCGCTGAGCGTCTGCAGACCGCACACATCTTCGGGAAGCCATGTTTGTGACGAGCCGGCATGCAGCTTCCATGTATCATGTCATTCATTAGTACACGTCTATACATTGTGTTGTATAATGTCTGCTGGTAGATGAGCAATAGTGCTGGACCAATAGGAATCGGTTCTAATGTCATTCCAAAAGCGATGGCGTTCTCCTTGGAGGTGAACCCGTCATAATCATCTTCTACCGAAAGATTAGTTCAGGATACCATCAGGAATAGGGTCTCTGTTAAGGTTTCCCCTCACTTCCTGTTCAGGTGTCACTGGGAAATGAAGTAAGGGAAGTCTCCCCAGCAGGGGTCATTTAAACCCACACACAGCCCTTCCCCCACCATTCCCAGAACAAGAGGCCCTCCCGCTACTTAGACCGAAAATCAGATGTTTCAGAAATGGGATTCATGTGAATAACAACATCTTCTCCTCCTTTTATCTCCTCTGGAATGTTTCTCTGCTGTTGTGTCCTGAATTTCCTGCTGATTGGTTAACATTCTGTGAACTCCTCCCCCCAGGACCTGCCATCGTGCACTTGTTTTAAAGCTGTGGCCCCAGGACGGTTATGCTGATCCAGGTTTTACTAAGGAGTCCCTGATCTAGTACATGCCAAGCAGGCTGCACCTCTGACTCTGTGTCTATTCATCTCCACAGACTGCCCATAGGTTTCAAGCCCTGATGAAGGGGCCTCTGAACCCCTGGAAAACATCAGAATTAGGGGGGCAGCATTGTACCATTTAAAAAACAAGACGCAATGGCAGTTCCCAAATCTGTCCTCATAGGTTCCTTTTCAACATCTCCCAGACAAGATGATGATCATATTTCTAAAGCAGTTTTTTTATTCCTCGGGACTCGCAGCGCTCATCAAATTTGGTGTTGGGATCTTTTAAGAAAATGTTTTTTTAGGTGTTGCTGTAAGCCGGGGTAAATGCGTCTTGGGTCTCAGGGGGCTTCCTGGACAATGGATGGAAGTGAGGTCCATATTGTGGGTTGCATGGTAGCATGCGTGAGATCCACTTGCCGTGTAATGTTCCTTTCTCCGCGGAGCGATGGAACGTTTGGAAGAAGGGGCACCCAGACGTTCTCTCAGATAGGTGGGGCCCAAGGGATTTAGGACTTTAGGCCAGTTTTAAGGAATATCTGCCATTTACTTGGAAGCCAGTGTAGGGGGTGAAGAATTGGGGTGATGTGGCATTGACGGGGTTGGAGGTTGAATAGCCCGGCTGCTGCATTCCATACTCGGTACAATCTCGGGGAGCCCAGAGCAGAAGGAGTTGCAGTAATCCAATCTGACACATTCTTCATATCTTCTGCTGGTATCAGATGTTTGATTCTTGTAATTAGCCTGAGATGGGGGAAGGAGGACCTGATGGGGGAAGGAGGACCTGAGGGGGGAAGGAGGACCTGAGGGGGGAAGGAGGACCTGAGGGGGGAAGGAGGACCTGAGGGGGGAAGGAGGACCTGAGGGGGGAAGGAGGACCTGAGGGGGGAAGGAGGACCTGAGGGGGGAAGGAGGACCTGAGGGGGGAAGGAGGACCTGAGGGGGGAAGGAGGACCTGAGGGGGGAAGGAGGACCTGAGGGGGGAAGGAGGACCTGAGGGGGGAAGGAGGACCTGAGGGGGGAAGGAGGACCTGAGGGGGGAAGGAGGACCTGAGGGGGGAAGGAGGACCTGAGGGGGGAAGGAGGACCTGAGGGGGGAAGGAGGACCTGAGGGGGGAAGGAGGACCTGAGGGGGGAAGGAGGACCTGAGGGGGGAAGGAGGACCTGAGGGGGGAAGGAGGACCTGAGGGGGGAAGGAGGACCTGAGGGGGGAAGGAGGACCTGAGGGGGGAAGGAGGACCTGAGGGGGGAAGGAGGACCTGAGGGGGGAAGGAGGACCTGAGGGGGGAAGGAGGACCTGAGGGGGGAAGGAGGACCTGAGGGGGGAAGGAGGACCTGAGGGGGGAAGGAGGACCTGAGGGGGGAAGGAGGACCTGAGGGGGGAAGGAGGACCTGAGGGGGGAAGGAGGACCTGAGGGGGGAAGGAGGACCTGAGGGGGGAAGGAGGACCTGAGGGGGGAAGGAGGACCTGAGGGGGGAAGGAGGACCTGAGGGGGGAAGGAGGACCTGAGGGGGGAAGGAGGACCTGAGGGGGGAAGGAGGACCTGAGGGGGGAAGGAGGACCTGAGGGGGGAAGGAGGACCTGAGGGGGGAAGGAGGACCTGAGGGGGGAAGGAGGACCTGAGGGGGGAAGGAGGACCTGAGGGGGGAAGGAGGACCTGAGGGGGGAAGGAGGACCTGAGGGGGGAAGGAGGACCTGAGGGGGGAAGGAGGACCTGAGGGGGGAAGGAGGACCTGAGGGGGGAAGGAGGACCTGAGGGGGGAAGGAGGACCTGAGGGGGGAAGGAGGACCTGATGGGGGGGGGAGGAGGACCTGATGGCAGCTGATTCCTCCTGCTTGATGGATGGCTCATGTTTAGATGAGAAGGGATGGTGGTCCAGGAGGTAGAAAGTTACCCTAACACAAGGCAAGCTGGCAAAGGTTTTCTGCTCTATGATGGTGTGTTATCTCCTAGATTCTGATGGCAGACATGGACAAGAGAGAGCGACAGCAGCTGCGTATGTTGGAGCAGCTGAAGGACATCCAGAGCCGCTACGAGACCTGTGAGAGGGAAAGGAGACAGACCGAGAGCCACAATTCTGAGCTAGGCCAGCAGCTGGAGGAGGCCACCCAGGAGGCTGAGCGGATCCTGGCTGAACTGCAGCAGGTAGATGCTCAGCGTCTGGAGGCCGAGAAGAAGAAAGAAGATCTGAAGTCCAAAGCTCAGGAGAGCCTCAGACACTGGAAGCTGAAGTATAAAAAGTTGGACCGTGAAATGGAGAAGAAAGAAGAGACGGTGAAAGTGACAAGCGAGCGCTGTACACAGGTCAGGTGTGATTGCTGTTCCTTCATGGCATGCACTTTATGCTTTCTAACCCTGGCCCTCAGGGGCCACTGATAAGTCATGACTTTCCAGACTCCCACATTGCAGCACAAGTGATGTTCTCCAGTCTTCCGATAGCAGCTGCAATAATTATTTCTGAGTAGCAGCGTAATATTATATACATATAACCGTAACCCAAGACGGTAAGGAGAAAGATGGAGAACAAGATCTGTGTGTAAAGCAAAACAAACGACAAACGCACTCAACAATTTGTTACCAGTTGTACAGTAAGGTGCACACGAATGGAGACTCTCATAGTTTAGCGTTAGGACCGCACTATAAGAGGTGCCTTGGCGCGGCAGTGCGGCTTACACATCCTTTGCAGAAGACGTGTATCCAAACCTCCGTCATTGTCCTTAGTGGTGAGACAAGTTGTTTTACATGCCGGCCGGTGAGTGCGCCATGACGCCTTTCTACTGTTCTACTGTTCAAAGCCCATTTCGTGTGCACCTTACTGTATAACTGGTAACAAATTGTTGAGTGCGTTTGTCGTTTGTTTTGCTTTACCGATTTGGTGCAGCGACGCATGGGGTTTCTCAGCTGCCAATGGGATGTGCGGGATCCCTTGTGTGTTTCTGTACCTTTAAGGAGGCGGGGCGTCCTCCTGACAAGCCTGCACCCAATTTGATATCTTCTGCCCCATGTGCTCCAAGATGGAGACTCTCATAGTTTAGAGTTAGGACCGCACTATAAGAGGTGCCTTGGCGCGGCAGTGCGGCTTACACATCCTTTGCAGAAGACGTGTATCCAAACCTCCGTCATTGTCCTTAGTGGTGAGACAAGTTGTTTTACATGCCGGCCGGTGAGTGCGCCATGACGCCTTTCTACTGTTCTACTGTTCAAAGCCCATTTCGTGTGCACCTTACTGTATAACTGGTAACAAATTGTTGAGTGCGTTTGTCGTTTGTTTTGCTTTACCGATTTGGTGCAGCGACGCATGGGGTTTCTCAGCTGCCAATGGGATGTGCGGGATCCCTTGTGTGTTTCTGTACCTTTAAGGAGGCGGGGCGTCCTCCTGACAAACCTGCACCCAATTTGAAATCTTCTGCCCCCATGTGCTCCAAGATGGAGACTCTCATAGTTTAGAGTTAGGACCGCACTATAAGAGGTGCCTTGGCGCGGCAGTGCGGCTTACACATCCTCTGCAGAAGACGTGTATCCAAACCTCTGTCATTGTCCTTAGCGTGAGACGCGTTGTTTTACACGCCGACCGGTGAGTGCGCCATGACGCCTTTCTACTGTTCTACTGTTCCCAAGATCTGTGTGTGTCTCCGGACATTTCATGGAAACAACTTTGTATCATAACTTGGCGCAGTGCGTGCCAATCATAGGGCAATGTGTTCTATGTAGCAGTCCTGTGTCCGTCTCTCGCTAAAACAAAGTCTGTTTCTGTGTCTCATTGATGGTATCCTCGGAACAATGTATGACACTTAGAAATAGAGAACACCGAGCATGTAAAGATTTGGGAGTCTCATCAATAAATACTGTAGAATAAATGATGACGGCTTATGTGAACTCGCTATGAATTGTTGCGTACGTTCCTTCGAATGGTCTGCGTCATTACTGAGAAACATTCCATGGCTTGTCCTTTCAGGTGACGAAGGAGAAGGACGACTTGAAGTGTCAGCTCCAGGCCACCATACAGCAGGCAGAAAGTCTCCGTAAGGAGTTGGCGGAGGTGCTGGCCAAACGGGCGCAGCAGGAGGAGGAATTACATTTGAAGCAAGTACGACTGACTGAGGCCCAGGAACAGCAACTGGACCTGGAGAGGGAACTGGGGGAATCGCAAGAGCTGGCTGGACGTCTTCAGGGTAACGATGCATCTTATGGTGTACATGCGTGTTATACGTCAGTCCGATAACTATGCACACTGTCATGTGTGGCTCCACAACATAGAAAGTCACTCTGCACTCCTCACAGCGCTCCCGGCCCAAGTACTTGTAGTGATGCTCGCAGTGACGGGCACCGTGCAACCAACAAGCGGTAGAAAGCAGAAATCAGCAGCACTCAGTAAATATGTTTCGATGTCCATTTAATCGGACCAATCGTCAATTGTCATGTTCAAAATATCGACGTTTCGGGACCGCACGGGATCCCTTCATCAGGGCGACAATGTAATGTAAATGGCTCCACAACATGACTCCGAGCTGAAAATGCAACAAAATAATCTTACATTCTTGATAAATATAAAAAAATTGTATCCTGCCACTTCTTGGTCACAGGGTGCCGAGGGAGCGATGTCATCAGACATTCTCCCCCTAGTCTCTCTAGCCCTCCAATTCATAGTCTGAGGTTTGTTAGCATGTTCACATGCAATAGGTTGGACTTGATGGACTTATGTCTTTATTCAACCTCAAATACTATGTAACTATGTTGTGTTTTTGGGGTATATTGACATTTTTAGAAAACCGCTTTTCTTTATCGTCCATTGAGGGACACCGGAATTCTTAGACTGCTGGGTTATACTGCCACCCACAGGAGAAATGGACACTGGCAGCAAAAGAGCTGTTGGCCTAACATAATATAAACCCGCTCCCAACCATCACGCCTCAGTTTCTGCTGAGTGTCCTCAGAAGATTGGACGTGTTTTCTTCTGGTAAATCTAACTGTCCTGCTGGGCGGTATCCTGGCTGTATCCTGGCTGTATCCTGGCTGTATCGTGTTTGTATCCTGTTTGTATCCTGGTTGTACCGGGCTGTATCCTGGCTGGATCCTGGCTGTATCCTATCCTGGCGGTATCCTGGCGATATCCTGGCTGTATCGTGTTTGTATCCTGTTTGTATCCTGGTTGTACCGGGCTGTATCCTGGCTGGATCCTGGCTGTATCCTATCCTGGCGGTATCCTGGCGATATCCTGGCTGTATCGTGTTTGTATCCTGTTTGTATCCTGGTTGTACCGGGCTGTATCCTGGCTGGATCCTGGCTGTATCCTATCCTGGCGGTATCCTGGCGATATCCTGGCTGTATCGTGTTTGTATCCTGTTTGTATCCTGGTTGTACCGGGCTGTATCCTGGCTGGATCCTGGCTGTATCCTATCCTGGCGGTATCCTGGCGATATCCTGGCTGTATCGTGTTTGTATCCTGTTTGTATCCTGGTTGTACCGGGCTGTATCCTGGCTGGATCCTGGCTGTATCCTATCCTGGCGGTATCCTGGCGATATCCTGGCTGTATCGTGTTTGTATCCTGTTTGTATCCTGGTTGTACCGGGCTGTATCCTGGCTGGATCCTGGCTGTATCCTATCCTGGCGGTATCCTGGCGATATCCTGGCTGTATCGTGTTTGTATCCTGTTTGTATCCTGGTTGTACCGGGCTGTATCCTGGCTGGATCCTGGCTGTATCCTATCCTGGCGGTATCCTGGCGATATCCTGGCTGTATCGTGTTTGTATCCTGTTTGTATCCTGGTTGTACCGGGCTGTATCCTGGCTGGATCCTGGCTGTATCCTATCCTGGCGGTATCCTGGCGATATCCTGGCTGTATCGTGTTTGTATCCTGTTTGTATCCTGGTTGTACCGGGCTGTATCCTGGCTGGATCCTGGCTGTATCCTATCCTGGCGGTATCCTGGCGATATCCTGGCTGTATCGTGTTTGTATCCTGTTTGTATCCTGGTTGTACCGGGCTGTATCCTGGCTGGATCCTGGCTGTATCCTATCCTGGCGGTATCCTGGCGATATCCTGGCTGTATCGTGTTTGTATCCTGTTTGTATCCTGGTTGTACCGGGCTGTATCCTGGCTGGATCCTGGCTGTATCCTATCCTGGCGGTATCCTGGCGATATCCTGGCTGTATCGTGTTTGTATCCTGTTTGTATCCTGGTTGTACCGGGCTGTATCCTGGCTGGATCCTGGCTGTATCCTATCCTGGCGGTATCCTGGCGATATCCTGGCTGTATCGTGTTTGTATCCTGTTTGTATCCTGGTTGTACCGGGCTGTATCCTGGCTGGATCCTGGCTGTATCCTATCCTGGCGGTATCCTGGCGATATCCTGGCTGTATCGTGTTTGTATCCTGTTTGTATCCTGGTTGTACCGGGCTGTATCCTGGCTGGATCCTGGCTGTATCCTATCCTGGCGGTATCCTGGCGATATCCTGGCTGTATCGTGTTTGTATCCTGTTTGTATCCTGGTTGTACCGGGCTGTATCCTGGCTGGATCCTGGCTGTATCCTATCCTGGCGGTATCCTGGCGATATCCTGGCTGTATCGTGTTTGTATCCTGTTTGTATCCTGGTTGTACCGGGCTGTATCCTGGCTGGATCCTGGCTGTATCCTATCCTGGCGGTATCCTGGCGATATCCTGGCTGTATCGTGTTTGTATCCTGTTTGTATCCTGGTTGTACCGGGCTGTATCCTGGCTGGATCCTGGCTGTATCCTATCCTGGCGGTATCCTGGCGATATCCTGGCTGTATCGTGTTTGTATCCTGTTTGTATCCTGGTTGTACCGGGCTGTATCCTGGCTGGATCCTGGCTGTATCCTATCCTGGCGGTATCCTGGCGATATCCTGGCTGTATCGTGTTTGTATCCTGTTTGTATCCTGGTTGTACCGGGCTGTATCCTGGCTGGATCCTGGCTGTATCCTATCCTGGCGGTATCCTGGCGATATCCTGGCTGTATCGTGTTTGTATCCTGTTTGTATCCTGGTTGTACCGGGCTGTATCCTGGCTGGATCCTGGCTGTATCCTATCCTGGCGGTATCCTGGCGATATCCTGGCTGTATCGTGTTTGTATCCTGTTTGTATCCTGGTTGTACCGGGCTGTATCCTGGCTGGATCCTGGCTGTATCCTATCCTGGCGGTATCCTGGCGATATCCTGGCTGTATCGTGTTTGTATCCTGTTTGTATCCTGGTTGTACCGGGCTGTATCCTGGCTGGATCCTGGCTGTATCCTATCCTGGCGGTATCCTGGCGATATCCTGGCTGTATCGTGTTTGTATCCTGTTTGTATCCTGGTTGTACCGGGCTGTATCCTGGCTGGATCCTGGCTGTATCCTATCCTGGCGGTATCCTGGCGATATCCTGGCTGTATCGTGTTTGTATCCTGTTTGTATCCTGGTTGTACCGGGCTGTATCCTGGCTGGATCCTGGCTGTATCCTATCCTGGCGGTATCCTGGCGATATCCTGGCTGTATCGTGTTTGTATCCTGTTTGTATCCTGGTTGTACCGGGCTGTATCCTGGCTGGATCCTGGCTGTATCCTATCCTGGCGGTATCCTGGCGATATCCTGGCTGTATCGTGTTTGTATCCTGTTTGTATCCTGGTTGTACCGGGCTGTATCCTGGCTGGATCCTGGCTGTATCCTATCCTGGCGGTATCCTGGCGATATCCTGGCTGTATCGTGTTTGTATCCTGTTTGTATCCTGGTTGTACCGGGCTGTATCCTGGCTGGATCCTGGCTGTATCCTATCCTGGCGGTATCCTGGCGATATCCTGGCTGTATCGTGTTTGTATCCTGTTTGTATCCTGGTTGTACCGGGCTGTATCCTGGCTGGATCCTGGCTGTATCCTATCCTGGCGGTATCCTGGCGATATCCTGGCTGTATCGTGTTTGTATCCTGTTTGTATCCTGGTTGTACCGGGCTGTATCCTGGCTGGATCCTGGCTGTATCCTATCCTGGCGGTATCCTGGCGATATCCTGGCTGTATCGTGTTTGTATCCTGTTTGTATCCTGGTTGTACCGGGCTGTATCCTGGCTGGATCCTGGCTGTATCCTATCCTGGCGGTATCCTGGCGATATCCTGGCTGTATCGTGTTTGTATCCTGTTTGTATCCTGGTTGTACCGGGCTGTATCCTGGCTGGATCCTGGCTGTATCCTATCCTGGCGGTATCCTGGCGATATCCTGGCTGTATCGTGTTTGTATCCTGTTTGTATCCTGGTTGTACCTGGCTGTATCCTGGTGATATCCTGGTTGTATCCTGGCTGTATCCTGGTGGTATTCTGGTTGTATCCTGTGTACAGTTTGCTTCACTCTTCACTCTTCTTCATTTGAACTGTAGGAGAGTTCCAGAGACAGGTGGAAGTCCAGCAACAGCTCCAGGAGGACCGGGAGAGGCTTCAGGAAGAGTTATTGTCCACTGGCCGGGCCCAGGAGAAGACCAACGACCAAGTACTAGAACTTCAGGAAGCTGTCCGAGATCTGAGCGCTGCGAGGGCTGAGCTGAGCAGGCGACTGGCACAGGAGGAGAAGGGCAACAAAGAGCTCCGGAGAAACCTTTGTGAGGCCCAGAAACAGGCCGAGTTTGCTCGGGAAGAGCTGAATTCAGCAGGCAGACAGCTAAAGATGGAACGGGATGTACATCAGCGGGAGGTGACAGATCTGCGCTCCGCGGCTCAGACTGCGAAGAGCAAACACGAGCGCAACATGCAGGAAATGCTGGCACACTTCAGGCAAGAAAGAGAAGAGCTGGAGGGTCACATCCGCAGCCTGAAGGTCAGCAGAATGATTGGCCATTGCTAACATGTCTCCTGTTATCCTGAAAGTCTTTCTCACCCTCTGTTATATATTCGTCACATTTATTGCATTGAAATCAATCTGCAGATTTGTCTTTGGATTGAATACCCCGAACAAGCTTTCAGTAACCTCGCTCCTCCTTTTACTTGCTGCATGCTTGTCTAGGCTGAGCGACTTACAGATACCTTGTAAACCCATCTACACCCCTGTCACCATATTGGTTGGGAGCCATAGACCTATTTGATTTGTTGTGGGTCTGCAAAGAGCCACATAACAGGTACCAGAGGGCCACGTGTGGCCCTCAGGTTGCTGGCCGGGTGTCAGGGGTGTATATGGAGTGCCGGACACACAGTTGCAGCATGGTGCAGTCAGGGAGTATGGAATGGTCAGTGACGGATAGTTTGACATTTTGGGCCTGCTCACCCCATCGTGTTAGAGAATAATGGGGGAATTATCTAAACTGGAGCAGACAGAATCTGGAGTGGTTGCCCATAAGGGCCAATCAGCTTCTCTCTTTATCTTGTATTTTGAAAATGAAAGCTAGAGGCTGATTGGTTGCCACGGGCAACCGCTCCAAATTCCGCCTGCTCCAGTCTGCTCGAATTTCTCCTCGATGTGTCTTTAGCCCATTTATAATGTGTTGTGTTGAAACGTAATGCACTATGAGCAGCGTTTTACACGTCATTTCTATCTTACATGTTTGGAAACGATTTGGGAAACATGGACACGTGACTTGAAAAACGCACCAAATAAAACGCTTATTGCACTTTAAGTGCGTTTTCCATGGTTTGCCATAGACTATAATGTAACATGTTTTTACCAAAACAGACAAAAGATGCAGCAAGCTTCCCTCTGAGGTCTCGTTCACACCTAGGCGTATTGCATATGCGCGTCTGTCGCTCATTTTTTTACCGCAATTCGCGGTAAAAAAAAGTTGCGTGAACGTCGCGCGTTTCCGAAGGCTACTTGGCTGTATCCCAATGGAAACGCGCAACAAAACGGCCCAAAGTAGTACCGGCACCTTCTCAGGCGCGGGCCGTTTTGTAGCGCGTTAGGGACGGGCGGAAATACGCCGAGGTGGGAACCAGACCATTGAATGCAACGCGATTTATATGTTTGAGCGTTTTGTAGAGCGTTCGTCGAGCGTAGAACCCGCCACAAGACGTTCCGGTGTGACCGAGGGCTAAGGGCTCGTTCACACTCTCTGTACAGCAACTCGTGTATTGAAGTGCTGTGCATGGCCATAACATCCTCCATATTGCCTGGGAAGGAGAGATTGCCGTCCTGGACACCAGATCTACCTCCCTGGCCGGCTCTGCACCCGCACTGGACGTGAAGCTTTTGTTTTGGAGCTGATCTTTCTTCTTTGGTTGCAGGCCGAGCTTATCGACACCAAGTCTCTGGGGAAATCGGAGCGACAACGAGTGGAGAAGATGAAGGTGGAGTGCGACAAACTTTCAGAGGAAGTGTTGCGGGGTAAAGAGGAGTGTGCCACCCTGAGGTGCAAGTACCAGCTGGCTGCACAGGATACTGAGGAGAAGGTAAGAGCAGGAGACGGGGACACTCCATAGACGTGGATTACACCCCCATCAATATCTGACCTTCCCTCCTTTTATAGGGGACAGCAGTTTAGAAGTCATTCAGAGACAGCTGGGTTATACTGCCGCCTACAAGAAAAATTGGACACTGGCAAACAAAAGCCAATGATAACCCCTTCTACTCCCATCATGTCTCACTTTTTTGCTACGGCATCTTTATGACCATTGTTACTAAACTTTAATATCAAGATAATAATTTTCCTTCAGTCACCACGCTGCTGAGCTCCACTCTGTATACACTTATCCTTGACTGGCTGCCATGGAGGTCATACCTGGACGCCGCCTGTAATGTGACCCTTTGGCACTGGGCTCCCCAGACCTCCAGTGTACTGGCTTGTTGGCTGCAGAACACTTTATGGGTCCAGTTCCATGGCACAAGATGGGTAAAGATGACCCGGAATGTGACCTTTGGGTACTGGGCTCTGCATGTGACACTATCCAGTTCCTTGGTACTGTTGGCGATAGAACGTTCTCCAGCTCTACGACCACGGGAGGTCTCTGAGAACTCTTGTCATAGATATTTCTCTATTGTCCATCGAAGGACACAGCTCTGAAGAATTCTGAGACATAGGGTTACGCTGCTGCCTCCAGGAGAAATGGACACTAGGCAACCAAATTCAAAGCCTGTCACTTTAAGGACGTAACCCCTCCCACCTCACACCTGCCATTTTCACTTGGTGTCCTCCGGGGAACGGACGTCTCCTTCTCTTCTCCTGCTTTGTATCTTCATTGATCTTCTCCTATTAAGAGGCTGCTGAGAAATGTCCGACTCACACCGGACGAGTTCTATCCGGGAGGTCTCTGTGGTTGTGAGGAAGCGGGTCGTTCCTCTGTACTTCTGCTTCCTCCTGCGGTGGTCCTCCATCATTTAACGGTCAGGCCGGTATTATCTGGGGGTTCCTGTTATGTTGGGGTCATGGAGTCCGGAGTATGACGCGTATGTATGACGCGTATGTGTAACACGTATGTATATCTACATGGAGTGCTTTTGTGGGTGTTTTTCCTCCTTTTACTGTAATATGTTATATGTGCCGTTATGTATTCTGACTCCTCATTGGCTTATATTTGGAGTGTATATATATATATATATATGGGCTTATATCTCAGCAGCTGGTTTGTGAGTTCGTGTTTTATATAAGTTTCCATGTAACACGTCAGTCCCATGGGCCTCTCCACCTCCTGATCTCCTTGCAGTGCTCCTCCTCAGGGGTCTGATACAGGCCCCATTGTCCTCTGCTTGTCCTCATTCTCTTGAGGTGTCTATAGCTGACTACGATGATTGCTGACTCGGTGGCTGGACCTCTACGTTGTCCCCTCTCGGGTCTTTGCCTGGCATTGCTGTGGATGGGACGAGGAGTCTCGCATCTCTTCTGGATGGGTTTGTATCTGGGGAGCCTCCGCCTGCTGATGTAGCTCCTCGGCTTAAACTTACCATGTTGGATCTGAGGCGGTGCGCACATGTTTAAGGATGGAACAGTCCTTGGCTGAACCGCTACTACAGTCCCCTTACTCCAACCTCTGCTATACGGAGGCCGGATTCCGGGTGAGCTATGTTC